TATGCGTGCGTCAAATTCAGCGTCAATATGCTGGTACACCAGCCATGAAAATCAACGTGGGTAAATATAAACTTTTTAGACGCGTCATTGACGCAATTCTTGACGCTGTTTGGTTTTCCTGGGTAGTTACTTATAAATATTTCCGCAATTAGTGCTCACACAGGAGAAATTTGAGAAAGTATGCATAAATTGTACGTGCTGTGCCATTAGAATATATTTCTCACAAACTTTTGCCGGGATATTTTGCGAAGATTTCCCTTCTCTTCTTCAATAGCTTTTAAGCTTGCTATTCTTGATACTGAATTTTTTTTTTTTACATTTTAAAACCAAAAAATACTTGCATACTTTGCAGCAATATTTTTTCTAACACTTGTTTTCAGCACCCTTGCCTTGTGCGAAACATTATTTGCAAAAGAGGTCTTTCTCTCATCCCCAAACGAGGCGTTCATTTTAAGAATCAGTTGTTTTATATTCGGGTACTTCAGTCCATAAATGCGTTACAGAATTATAGAGATGTGTTGTTTCCGGCTTAATTTCTCTATGATCAGTAGAAGAAAGATTTTGTGTCATACAGCGGGGCTGTATATACTCCACTGTATAAAACATGAGTAGATGCAGTAAATACCAAAGCCGGGATCCATTTCCTCAATTTCATACGAACAGTGTTTGTATTCGGTGATTTCAGGGAAGAAAGCTAGAAAAAAAATCAAGAACATGATTAAAATTCTTCTATGCTTTTCCGAACACAAGTGACGACTTTCTTGCGGAACTCGTCAGGCATTTCTCGCATCTCCTTCGCAGCGTCGATATTAGCCGGGGATTCCGCGTTGGGATCCGCGAGCATTGAGATCACGCTCAAGAGCACAGTCTCCACTGTGTGTACGGGTAACCAGCGCTCAGATGCTGCTTCGTAACCATAGGTGTCGTCCCCCGGCTCGTGTAAGATTGAGATGCACACTTCGCCGCTCTGGTGAACGTTCGGGTGCCAAATTTCCGTCAAGAATTTCATCTTCGGAGGTCGCAACGGGTATTCCTTTCAAGCAATTTCAAGTTGGTTTAAAAGCCATAAGAAGGTACCCATTTTTTAAATGTAAAACTTGCATTCAGGGATAAAAGCATAATAGATAAAATTATTTTGTTATTATAGACCGTCATAGATGCGCGCGTTTTATAGATGCTGTTTCATAACTCGAACGTTTAATTTTGAACATAATGGAACTTCGAATGACGATTAATGACTTGACTCAGAACAATTGTGCAGCTGTAAACCCCTGAAGCCATGCAGAGGCTCACGCACATCAGGTGCTGGTACTTATTAGTTATTATTACTTTTGCCAAGTGGTCACCCCCGCGGGGGTGGTGCGGTAGTCCAAGACTAGCGAATTTTAAAAGTTGAGCGGAAAAAAGTGTTCGAAACCCCTGTATTATAGATTAAATTACCCATAAAACTGTTCCGGTCCCAGTAGTCCTGCCAAGTCATTATGTAAAATAAGATCGATCCTTCCCGAAATTTCTCCGAACGAAAGTTGCGCGCGACTTGTTGCGTTACGCAGATGTCGCTGTACACAATTTTAAAAAATTAGCGTAGGTAACTATTGTAACTCAATTCCACATGAAATACCGTACGTTACATAGCTGATGTGACGTATTCCTAACTATAAGTTTAGAACGCCACCTACCTTATTAAATAACATCTCAAAACTCAACTTTACAGAAAAAATACTTGCATCGAATAAGCTTTTTATGCGATAGGATTGAACAGATTTAATATGATGCTGATGCCCGATTCATCGACGAGACGTTCTGAACATACAGTTATCACTTCGTAGCAGTCGGGGCCACGTGGAAAGAAAAGCTTACAATACTGTATTTGATTTATAATTTATTACAAATATACCGCCTAAATTCCATTTCTCGCCATGGCTACTCGTCAGAACTGAGGTAGGAAAACCTGCATTTCTGTTGAACTGGGTCAGGAAACACGTTTTGATGGAATGTAGGTTTTGCGCGCTGACTTTGAGAACTCGCGAAAAAATAAGCAGGAAAGGGAGTCCATTCCCCTCGTCAAAAAGGGAGTCAAAAATCACGTTAATTAGAAATCACAGTTAATCACTGACAAATTCCCTCTATTAAAACCTGCTTAACTCAAAAATAATAGATCAAGCCTCCTTTTGCACATTTGAAAAACCTTTTTGCAGGTAAATTAGGGTTAAACCTCATAGAGCAGCTGTTCCAGAAAAACGTTTTCTTTGAGCAGTCCGCAAGAGATAATCCTGCAGGTATAGAACATAAAGGAATTAAAGAGAGTTTCAAGGATTTGTCCAAAATATAATTTTCCTGACTTATCCCACTACCCAAACGAAGCTCGATTTTTTTAAACTCAAAAACCCCGAAGTCTAATTTTAGAGTCGATTCCTTCAAATTTGACTCAAAAGAGTTTCATGTTTAGAATAATGACGTAAATCAATTTCTTGTGAGACTGATAATTTTCTAATAAAAATAAAACCCAACTACAGTATAAAGAATATTCCAGATAAAATTTGTGCATCTGCTTCCCGACTGCCGCGGCTGGAACTAATGCCTATATATAATTCAAGTTCGTCAGTTCCGTCCCACTTACGAAATTAACATGCGAAGGATGCAAAGCGGTCTCATATATATAATATCGAAAACAAATTTCTTCTTATAGGGCTTAACCGCAAAAAAAAATAGACTGAAAAACCAAGCACTATTACTGTACAGTACTATAAAATTGTTCATCAACCGTGTGAGTACTTTACTTATTTCGGGAAATCGAAAATTTACATATACAGCAGGCACCTCTGGGAAAACGAGCTGAGCCTTGAAAATGCCACCTTCGTACAAGGTGTCCGGTGGGCCCAGCAAGACAACCTCCCAAAGATAGAGGTCGCTGTCGTCCACGAGTCCAGCGGAGAATCCCTCCACAGGGTTCTTGTTCAACTCGGCCAATTGGCGCTGGAGCAACAAAGCTGACTGGGAAATCGGCGCAGCGCCGAATCCGCGATTCATTTCCACAAATAGCACTGCTTCTTGCTGCACTTGCGGGCAAGAATGCAAAATGACTGAAGGCTTGAAACTGAAATCTAACGCGCCTGTGGGGGTGATGAGGAATGCTGGGTAAATTCAGATTTATTCTACGCTAAGAATTTCGTGGAGGATGACCACAGAAGGTTCCGAAGATACGCATTTATTCGTGGTGTGTGTGTGTGTGTCTAATGCACTTGTTATTATGAAAATGTTGAAAGTCATGTGGTGTGAAGAGGAATCGTTGGTACTTTCAGCAGAAATCCAATAAAATACTGTACTATTTCTATACTGCTGTGACTGGATATTTTATTTCAAATTATTTAAAAGAAAACGACTCTGTAAAAGTTGACGTCGAGTACTACTGTGTACTAGATTTTTTTAAACAAAACCTTTGTACAGTATATCCAATTATGAAAAGGACCCGAATAAAAAAAAATGTGCTCATCGTATCAACTGAGTATACTTAACAATGAAGTTGAATTCACCTTTTAAATTAGTATGGTGAGACCCCAAAATGCGGATATAATTGGTGCATCAAGAGTGTCCTGAAGTTGGAATCTCCTTAAGTTAAGTCTCATTTTCCCTCAGACTTCAATGTTAATGTATTTAATTGATTCTCCATTTTTTCAAAAATTAGAAAATAAGTCCTCAAAAATGTATTAAAAATGTCTCCCTCAACTTCAAGTTGTAGAAAACAACAGTTCAGATCAAAGCCACATAGTATCTGATCTTTTGATATCAAAAGGAGATCAAAAAGCAAAGAAAAATAATGATAAGTCTTGCTAGAATATGCACAGATGATGGAAAAACAGATGCACAAAATAAGCTTGCTTTTGCTTGTTAATTGGAGTGATTTCATAATGAAATACAGTATTTTAAACATTTTTGTGACTATGAATAGCTTGATTTGTGTCGCGAATATTTCAACGGATACATTAAATTCGATACGCTAGCTTTGAAGAACCCGAATTCCCCGACGAATTTAGTCTTTCATTTCGTATAATCCAATTATGAAAAGGACCCGAATAAAAAAAAATGTGCTCATCGTATCAACTGAGTATACTTAACAATGAAGTTGAATTCACCTTTTAAATTAGTATGGTGAGACCCCAAAATGCGGATATAATTGTTGCATCAAGAGTGTCCTGAAGTTGGAATCTCCTTAAGTTAAGTCTCATTTTCCCTTAGACTTCAATGTTAATGTATTTAATTGATTTTCCATTTTTTCAAAAATTAGAAAATAAGTCCTCAAAAATGTAATAAAAAAGTTTCTCCCTCAACTTCAAGTTGTAGAAAACAACAGTTCAGATCAAAGCCACATAGTACAGTACTGTATCTGATCTTTTGATATCAAAAGGAGATCAAAAAGCAAAGAAAAATAATGATAAGTCTTGCTAGAATATGCACAGGTGATGGAAAAACAGATGCACAAAATAAGCTTGCTTTTGCTTGTTAATTGGAGTGAATTCATCATGAAATACAGTATTTTAAACATTTTTGTGACTATGAATAGCTTGATTTGTTCAAAAGATATCAAAATTAAAATTTTATTTTTTGCTAAAATTTCAGGAAAGTGTCACTAACTGAAGCTAATGTCTGGATGTTGGCCCTGATTTTTTGGGTTTTCAAGTGCCCCTGAGTCAAACTGTCTGTATGTTGGGGTGTCTGCATATTGGGGTCTCATTGTATAAGAAACTACACATTTGTGATAATTTCTGAAACCCCAACAAAGAATAACTGAAAACTGAGATGCATGCATGCAGTGAACCACCTTTTTGCCAACATTTCACCTAAATAACTAATCGTTTATTAATATGCAGTGAATATGATGGTTTTAAAAAATCAAAATCTTGGAACTTTGTGAAAAGATCAACGACTTGAATCAACTTTTGGGGCAAGTTGACTCATTGAATTCCGAGATCTGTTTGGGGATCTAAAATAATAGTACAGTACAGTATAAATAAAACCCGCAGCTGCTCCCTGATGCATGCTGAATGGTGCCCCATGAAAGTAAAGCCCCGCTGGAATCATACAGAAATTATGCTGATATCATCGTGGCCGTTGTTGTATTAAGCAACGCATTGCATTAATTGATCTTCGTCTGCACGACTGGTAAATATTGAGAAGAAAAAAAACGCCCTCTTGAAATGTCAACAGCATGTGTGCCTGTATGCCGCAAGTCATATCGAAAGCCTTGCCCAACCTTGACCTCGCGTCCATGCTCAAGCAGCGATTTATTTAGCCGACGCCCTGAATCTCTTTCCCCCACACACACAATCCACGTCACCCACGCAAAATCCCATCTCCTGAGGTTCGTGGGAAACCAGAAGACCGAGTTGAATGCTTTTTGACCAAATCCAAAAGAAAAGGCTGTAAACGATACAAAGACGGAGTTGTGCCCGAATCGGCACAAAAGGACGAGGAATTTGAAATAAAACACTGTACTCAGCTGTGGGGTTCAGCTGGGGATCTTGGTTTCAAGATCCCAAAGTAAAAGTATATAGTGTATTTCAGTTTTTTAACCCCAAGATAACAATCACAGCAAAAACGATCACAAACAAATTCGACCGACTTCGACAAGATCTCGTGGCTTACTGACTGGGCTGTGATCTAATTAAAATGGCGGCGTCAATCTTGAGTTGAACATTCTGGAACATTCCTGTAAATTCCTGAAAGTAATCAAACTTTATATTGCAGGTATTTGATGTGCCCGCATGTGGGGAGCGGTACAATAACGCGCCGAATTATTCCGCCACAGGAGTTAAAGTAATTTAGGAAGAACTCTGAATGAAACTAAAAACAGATCAATAAATGAAACTCAGCACGCCGCCGGGGAACTCGGCAGGGGGATTCTCGGTAGAATCTCCAAAAGAGAGCAAGCAATTTAATAAATATATTTCGAATTTTGAACAAACAATCAAGAAAGATAAATGAAGACTTGGAATTTTCACACTCAAAATACCATTCCCAAAACAACCAAACGCTTCGGAGATTCGATGAACAGTGTGCGAGCAAGAGAACATTATTCATATTGTTCTGAAAAATGGCGCAATGGGGAATAACGCGGATTTCCCACTACTGCGCAACATTCTTTAAATTCCTGGTTTCTTTTTCCCCGTTTTAAACTACATTCTTTCGTTAATTAATTCTACCTGTGTCCCTACGAAGGCGTCGAGATCCATTTATTTGAAACACCCTGTTGGACGAGCAGGGTGTGCTATTGCAATGCTCAAGTAAAAGCACAGTACAGTACAGCATTTGCTG